ACGAAATAATAGCGCAGATATACCTTATGCCTTAATTTACCTTGCTGAAAATAGTAATAACTCAAAGGCTGGTTTTGAATATCAGACTGCTCGTTTAATTGCTACAACTTTTGATGAAGTTTGTGAAAAAAGAGAGTTTGTTCACAGGAAATTAAAAAGATGTATTCCCGATTATTTCCCAGAAACCCATGAAATAATTGATTTAGCAAATGATTTTGATGAAAGCTACGAAACATATATGGAAAAAAAATGGGCTACATCAACTTATTCATATTTAAAATGTAAATCTTGGCCAATACATCTTGTAATAAAAGAAGGTAAACACATCAACGTACTTTTAAGAGATGAATCTCAGGCGATACTTTTACCGACAAAAGTTTCATTTGGCAGACGAACTTTGTTTGCAATATTGATTTGTGGTATTAACCGACGTCGTAAACTTGATGACAAGTATTTGGAATTTTTACAAGTATGTAACATAATTTTTATTATCCGGAACCTTACTATGATAGTACCAACAGAATAACTCGAGCTATTTTGATGATAATTGCATCATCATCTTCGTTATTTGATGATGACGCAATCATCACCAAAAGAAACTCGTGTCATTCTGTTGGTTCGATCGTCGTCGTAAGATGCCTGATAATACCGTTATTGAATGCTACTCAGCCAATAACCTGTTTGTCTGGCAGTGAATTTAATATGTCATTTCTGGGCCCCAGAAGCTGACATATTAACTTAACAACCAGATAATGAAATTATTTTTACAAATAATTTTCGTTATTGGCTGCTTCGCATCCAATAACTCTATATTATTTATCGATTTCGAAAATACTTAAATACATTATAAATTTGTTAGTTGACCATGAGTCAAGTAAATTCATTTTTGATGCATGGAAGATCAGTAGAAGAAGAAAAAACGCGTTCGAAATTATTGGCTGATTTAAATCATGAAAAAATTACGTTTTTCCAAAACATAAGTCATGAATTAAAAAGTATTATTATTAATTCGTTAAAAATATATTGATTGATTCTTTTGAAATTGTATCGCACGACTTACTTATTTATTTGGTCCGACTCTTACTAGCTCCATTGACTTTAATGTTATCACCGCTTGAGGACGTCATTAACACGTGTTCACAGGAAGCACAAATGATGTCGCACCTTCGAATTATACGACGTAACACCTGTCGCTTGCTTAAACTAATTAATTCTTTGCTCCAGGTAATATGTTACTTATTAAAAATTCGTTTAGTCCGCAAGCGAGATCATCATTTTAAAGTTGTTCCATTTTTCACATATAGTATTCGAACATAGAATCTAACAAATTAGAAGTAAATTATCGTGAAACAAACATAGCTGAGCTTACACGAGAACTAGTCATTAATTTTGCAAGCATGGCTAAAAAATTTGGCTTAGATTATATAATTGATATTCCAAGTCAAGAGGATTTTAATAGAGCCGTGAACGATAAAATTTACCTAGATCATGATATGTACGAGACGATTGTTTTTAATCTTTGTAAGCGCTTTCCAAAAAAATAAAATGTATTTAAGACGTGTGGTTTTATTAGTTAAAGTAACACCATTCCTGTTTAAAGGTTCAAATGCATTAAAGCATACATGGAGTGGACATGTCAAAGTTCGTCTATGTATTGACTCAATATATAAGAAAAAGATGATAGTTCTTGAAGTGTCAGATACAGGTTAATACTATTTCTTATTAAATTTATTACAATCTTCGTATCTTTTGTATCTCTTGCAGTTTGATCTCCTGTAGCATAGGTGACCCTACTCTATAATCAATTAATTATATATTACAAAATATCCAACTTATTTTAGGAGTTGGTATTCCAGAAACTGCTCTTCCAAATATATTCCAGCGTTTTTATCGTGTAGGAGGATCCCAAAGCTCACGTAGTCATGAAGGTACTGGAATAGGTCTTGCTCTTGTGAAAGAACTTGTCACGCGTCATGGAGGGGATATTACTGTAACCTCGGTAGTAAATCAAGGAACGACATTTAAATGTTGGTTTCCAATTGGACGTCAGCATTTATCAGTAAATCACGAATATCATGTCAATGAAAATTTGCAAAGCCAAGAACAAAAATTATATTCAAAACGGCATCTTTATTTAGAAGAAAGCTCACAATGGATACAAAATAATCCAGGTTTAACCGAAGATGATTTAATGAGTCAAGAATTAGATGACTATGATATAGATACGGATAATACAGTTGAAGATACTGCATTTCATTTATTTATGGATGATTCTATAAATATTGTCGATAAACAGTACCGATATCAGATATTGCTTGTTGATGATAGTCCAGATATGCGGTAGCGATATCTTTATTCAATTTAATTGAGTTTTCTTTTTTTGAAAAAAAAAATAATTTATAAATTGTTTTTGTTTCGCATTATTTGTAGAAGTTACCTAGCAGATTTACTAAAAGAGTATGACGTACATTGTGCTTGTGACGGCCGGGACGCTATTCGAGTTTTAAAAAATCTTAACCAGCTACCAGATTTAATTCTTAGTGGTAAATTATTACTCATTTACATAATCATATTTCTATTTTATATACTAAGCAGAATAGTCATTATAATAACTGAATTACATATTTGAATTCGATAGATATTATGATGCCAAATATGAATGGATATGAATTATTAGATGTATTAAGGTCTAATACACAAACTCAACAAATTCCTGTGATATTACTATCTGCAAAAGCCGGTGAAGATTCTAGTGTTAAAGGTAAACGGTTTAACATATTAATATTTCATTCACCTTTAAATTTTTTAAATTTACAAATTCAATACTTTATGTATTCATTTTAGGATTGGATAAAGGAGCAGATGACTATATGACAAAACCATTTTCTGCTCGAGAACTAATTACTCGCATTCGCACTAATATCGAACTCTCACATCTTCGTCGTAAATTACTATATCAAGAATGCAGACAAGAACAGATAAAGCAACTATTAACTTTAATTTCAAACAAAATACTTTCGGGATTTGATTTGAAGGATACACTTCCAAATATTATTGAAGAAATCCATCATTTATTACCATGTGAAAGAATATTCATTATTTCATTTGAATCATCTGAACTTAAAAACCATACTATGATCGCTTTATCTGAAAATTCGACGAGTGAGACGCCGATAAATGCGTTACTTATGGAAAAGTCAATTGCTAATTCTCAAGAACTTTTAAATAATGATTCTGACCTAGAAATTTTATCTGACGTATATTGTTCTGATACTTGTAAAAAAGTGTCCATGTTATCTGCTAAAATAAAAATGAAAGATAGCTACTGGGGATGGATAAAGGCACATAGACCACCAAATTCTGTTTGGCTCGATTCAGAAATAGAGTTATTACAACAAATATCTAATCAATTAGGTTTAGCTATTGATAATGCAAATTTATTAAGAGAGAATATGGAAAAGGAAGTGCAGATAAAAGCTACAGAAGTTGCCAATGAGGTCAAGGGTCGAATACTGGCAAATACTTCCCACGGTATAAAATATTATTTTCATAATAAATTTTTCATCAAGTCAACTAACCTAAGACTATTTCCTAGAATTACGAACTCCATTAGGAGCGATAGTGGGCATTCTTTCATCTTTTGATGATACTTCTCTGACTGGAGATCAAAAGGACATGATTAATATCATGACACGTGCTTCAGATTATGTTTTATCTACAGTCAATAATATTCTTGATGCAGCAAGATTGGATGCAAATAAAATAATACTAATAAATCGTATCTTTGATTTGTTGGGCTTATTTGAAGATACAATTGAATTGTTTGGAGAAAGAGCAGGTGCTAAACAAATTGAGTTAGTCTTAAGTTGTGAGTTGGATATACTGCCAAAATATGTTAAGAGTGATCCTGAAAGGTGATTGAATTAGTTATTTTCGTAAGAAATGTGTAGAAGATCGAAGCATATTATTTACTTTTGTTTGCTGCATATCTTATAGATTAAAACAAATTTTGTCTCATTTATTGTCAAATTCGTAATTATATCTCTAAAATTTCCTCCATTCTTATCGTTCGTTATCAATATACAGTGATTTATTCCTGATTTCTTTAATCTAAATAGAATTAAATTTACAGATGAAGGTGAGATTGTAATGAAACTTTCATTACAGTCGCAGAAAGTCACAGATATGCCAACTAGAAATGCAAATTTATTGATTGAAATATATGATACCGGAATTGGGTAAACGAATTATAATAAAATGATCATTGATACTCTATAGCTTATATGCCATTTAATAATTAATATGATTTCTTAATTAATAGAATTGATCCTGAATTTATGCAACATATTTGGGAAAGCTTTTCACAAGGAGATACAGCAAAACAACAAGGTACAGGACTCGGTCTCACAATATGTAAAAAACTAGTAGAAATTAATGGTGGAGAAATTAAAGCAGAAAGTCAGTTGGGAAAAGGAAGTAAATTCTGGTTTACTTGGAATGTCGAATTATTACCTGATACTTCAGAATTCCAAGATGTCTCGCTTAAGGCACTACTTGATGAACAAATCTGCTATGTTTTACCATATGCTATGACATTAAAACGGGTATTAATAATTCATCCAGTCGAAAGCGTAAGAAATGCAATGGTAAAATATCTTGAACAGATTAAAAAAGTTGATGCTTTTGATACTTTTGATAAAGGTATTCAGGAAATAAAAAGTTATAAACAATTGTATAATAGATTCGCATACGATATAATATTCATCAGCCTTTATGAAAAAAATGAAGAAGAGGTCATAAAAGCTACATCGGAGTTAAGAGAAATTGCAACAAATAGAAATAATTTCTTGATAATCTTTATAGCATTTCCAAGTAATACAGGAAAAGCATTGGCAGAAAAATTGGTTAGAAAAATTGGTGGTCAAGTTGCTATCATTTATGTACCGATTACATGGAAAAAACTAATTAATCAATTTTCACGTATAAAGGATAGCAAAGTCATGGACGAAAATTGTGTTATTGAGAGCTTACCTGTAAGCAACCTCAACAATACAAATATTTTGAAGGGAGTTGCAGATGATGATGATCAAGATAATAATGAAGGTACAGCTTCTAATATATTAAAATCTATAAGTAGGGATATTTTGTATTTGATACGGTTATTCCTGTTTTTTTACTTCTTTTTACAGATTATAAACTTCTTCTTACGTTGTTTGAAAACATAAATATTTAATTTTTATTTAATGTCAATATAGTTAAATTTCATTTTTTATTAAATTTATTATAATAATTTAATATTTTTATATAGGACAGACTTTGCTGTCAGATGCTTGTATATATTTTTGAAAAATTTTTATTCACATAATAATAATTTAAAATACGTCCTAAAAAATAGTTAAATTCTTGCTATAGAAAATTGTACAAAGTGTTTGCATAGTCAAACAAGGAACATTCGGATTATACAGTTATATCTCCTGCAAAAAATCAAACATTTGATACAAGAGTTAACAGATGATTGATTATACAATGAGCTCCGAACGGAGCTCAAGGGTGGTAGGCCACGGCGTCAGGCGTAACCTGACTCAACAGCTTGAGCAAGATGTTTCCCACCCCATTCACATCTCTGTCAATGATCAACCCACATTCGTCACATTTAAATTTCTTGTTTCCACCTAAATTGTTCTTAACATATTCCTTGGTATAAATTATAATCTTTTACTAGGATATTCGCTCATCTTGTGTAATAAGAATTGTCAAAATCGAAAATGACCCCACGTTAACATATTACATGCAGTTTTCGTTCTGATTTTTCGTTTTGCTCGCCTTATCATTTCTTGGGTTTTGAAAATCGGTAAAACGATCGTTTGGTAGTTGTCACATAGTTATCTTGTTATTTTCTTATGACAATCATCAACCAAATTATGTATCTTGTGATAAATTTGTCACATTTTTTTTTTTGATCACGTAATGTTTTCTTGAATTCACCTCATTTGATTGACTTTGATATTTATCGTGATGAATGCAGAGTCTTGATAATCTAGAGAAATTGTTATTACAAAACTCTACAACATTTCCCATATCCACTGATTTGATTTTTAGGGTCTTTTTTCAATAAATGGTTACACAACCTTTTGCTATTAAGTGTGATATGAAGAATAACAAATGAAACATTCAATAAAAACAACTTCTAGCCTTTATATGAGATAAACAAGCAATAAATACTAAAAAAACAATTACACTAAGTGTAAAAAAAGCACTATCACTGGTTGTTGAAGCATTTGGGTATATTTGGGTAGTGAATGATTGATTGTATAATAGGTAAGAGCAAATTCAGAAGTCATTTTTTAGGAAAATAGCCTTTTAAATCTAATGTTAGCCAATAATTAAACATGCAGATATTGCAATATTATATACACTTAATTATGGCTTCAAAGTAAGTTTAAAAGACAGTTTTTGTAAAAATTCACTTTGTAATAAATTTTAACAACAAATAATTCTCAATTATGATTAGCTAATTTTGAAGTTAAACCAAATTAGTGAATATGCTCTAGGATCATATCCTGTTACAAAAGATTTAACACCAGAATCCAGATTAATAATTCTTCTTTTTTTCATTTCTTATAGTAGAAGGTATTGGTAGTGTTGTATATGAGATAATTTTGAACATTTTTTTCAATTAAAATTACTCAAATTTTATTATAATAATCTATTTTAATTTTTTATAAATGAATTCAGCATTTAAAAAAAATATATAATTATATATTTTTTTAAATTACTGTACTTTATTGATTATTTAAACTTGAGATATAAGCTTGGACAATTTTGGACAATATTAGACATTAGATATTAGACATAATATGGATGCATCACATGTATAATACTGGGTATTAGTATATGCAAATAATATATGTTTAACTTATCTCTTGATATAATAATCTTATTTTTATTTTTTATAAAATAATTTACTTTTCTTGATTTTTTTCAAAAATAAATTGTTCTTTTTCATAATTACAATCTCTTGTATCTAATCTTGCTTACAATATTTTTTTAATTTGAATCTTATTATAAATTTTTGTTTCTTTTCTAATTCAGTTTTGAGATTCTTTTTAAATTCCAAAAAAGCATTATCACAGATTCCAAAGTCTCTAATATCTAATACTTGTTATTTTTAAAATTTTTCTTGTTTATCACAAGCTTATATACCAACTTTAGATTCTTTACTCCTAACTTGTAAATCTTTAAAATCTGATTGTAGGTCTATTTGAATATGCTTATCTATCTCTTTAAAATTGCTTGCTGTTCTTTGTTAGAATACAAATAAATCTTGCACATCTTTAAACTTTCATTTTTTTGTTGTTTTCCTGTCTTTGTTGTTTGCTTTTTTTTTTCTTATTGTCTTTTGTAAAATATAGTTTGCAGACTGTTATGTCTGGTTGTAAACATGGTAACAATTAATAACAAATCTTTGGCCAGTTCTCTATGATTAGTATTTTGTAATTTTATATCCAAACTAAGAACCATGAATCTGACCTGATTTTTATAAATCTATTCAATGTATTTATTAGCAAATCTATATAATTGATTCTTTTTAATAGATACAACTTTTTAATAACTTCTTTGATGTATTAGTTCAGAAGAAATAAAAAATTATTTCTTTCAAAATTAAGTTTTAATTCAATATTCAGGTATTTATATAGTTGTTTTTTTTGCTTGTCTGAGCTGACTTGTGATTAACAGTTTTTTTTTGTTTGAATTGCTCATTGTCACAGAATTAATCAATATAGAGTAAACTATACCAAATATTTGGTTTAAATTATAGAAAATGGACAAATACTTATTTGTTTATTTATTAATTTAATTGATAATCCGTGAGTCACCGAAAGAAAATGATCTGCAATTACTAAATAAATATGATAGAAATTAATTAATAAAATACCTTATTTAGAAATGTGAAAATTTTTACGTATATATATATATATACATACAGTAAAATACTGTATTTGGTGGTATGTATATACTATATATATGTATATACCTTTTTAATAACTTACAAAAATTTTTAGCCTGGTTACTTCACTATAGTGAAAGTAGCATGTATATACTGTACAATTGCAAATTAGAACTTGTTAAAAGCCACATGCTATTTCAAAACTCTGATTTAAAACTTACCTGCTAATTAAAAACCTATTAGAATTAGCTTAGTCTTAGGAATATTAATAGCCTGGTCTGGTTTATTTTGGTCTGGCTTTAATCTAGTTTATTATAGTTTACTGTATAGTCTAAAGAGTTAATTAAACCAGGCTAATCCAGACCAGTCTAGTCTTAAAACTAACTGCAAACTAGGTTCAGATTGGTCTTAAAACTAAATATGATCTATTGATTTAAGGCAACTACATATAGTAAAATCTCTACTTAGTCTACTTACTGCTAGTTTAAAGCAATCTAATTTAATTTAGCCTACTCGCTAGTTTAAAATATATAAATGTATTGTATATAAATAATCTAATAAATAATTTAAAATTATTTTAAAAATACATATTCAATTCCAATAATAAAAATTTAACTAGTAAAGAAAAAAGTATATTTATTTAATTTCAGTTATATATATATTTATTTGTCTTTTTTTGCATACTTTAGCCTATATTATACACTTTTAATTTCTAATTGAAACTAATTCACCAAAAACCAAATTCTATGTTTAAAAAAATTTCAATTCTATCTTTAACTAAACACTAATCCTAACCCAATCTTATCATTAGCTAATTCCAATTCTATATTGTTTATACTTATTTACCATTGCATAAAACCCTTCAATCAAATTAGCCCTTACCGTTACAATATGTCTATCTGTGCTAGAAGTATTCTGATTGGCTTGCTTATACAAGCATACAAATATATGAGTACTTTCAAAAGAAGCTATTACACATTATAAGGACTTACGGCTGGCAACCCTACTTGTGATATAAAAAAAATCATTAGATGATGAAATTATCACTGTTTGCATATTGATGAAACTTTAATCAAATTTGTAGATCACTACGCACTCATACAATCATAATTGTAAAGTGCATTTTTTGATCTTAATAATCATGCAACCGGACAACAATCAGGTGATTCTTCAAGTAACTGTATAGATGTGCAGATTTCTAAATTTGATCAAAGTTATATCAATATGCAAACAGTGCAAAGTAAATCCTTATTACCAATACTTACAATACTACCACCCTTCAAATTATTTATTTGCATAAAGATTATGAAACTAAAAATCAGTAAATAAAGTCTGCAATTAAGAGAATAAATTAAAATTGGTAAGTGATTCTTCATACCTGCTTATGATATGCTACGAATTCTTAATGTAAATACATAATTTGGTCAATTTCTAATATGATAATTTATTCAAACTGGCAAGTGTTCATATTTCTTCATGTGATAAGTTCACAATTTTTAATGTCTATATATTATTTGGTTCAATTTCTAATAATTTATTTAAATCCGCAGATACCTGTTCATCATACGATAAGTTTCTTTATGAACTCTTAATGTCTCACGCATCATTTGGTTTAATTTCTAATAACTTAAATCTACAAGTAATTCTTCATATCTGTGCTTATTATGAACTAAATTGCACCACGACCTTTTAATGCAAATACATCATTTAGATCAATTTCTAATAAGATTTAAATCTGCAAATAGTTCACCATACCTGTTCATCATGCAATAAGTTTCTTCATGAGCTCTTAATAACAACATCATTTGGTTCAATTTCTAATGGTTTATTTAAATCCGCAATATACCTGTTCATCATGCGATAAGTTTCTCCATGAACTTTTAATGTCCATGTATCATTTGGCTCAATTTCTGATAATTTATTTAAATTTGCAGATAGTTCTCCATACCTGTTTATTATGCAATAGGTTTCTTCGTGAACTCTTAATGTCCCATGCATCATTTGGTTCAATTTTTAATGATTTAAACCTGCAAGTGATTCTTCATATCTGTGCTTATCATGAACTAAATCACACCACGACCTTTTAATGCAAATTCATCATTTAGATCAATTTTCAATAAGATTTAAATTTGCAAATAGTTCACCATACCTGTTCATCATGTGATAAGTTTCTCCACGAACTTTTAATGACCACCATCATTTGGTTCAATTTCTAATGGTTTATTTAAATCTGCAACATACCTATTCATCATGCAATAAGTTTCTCCATAAACTTATGCATCATTTGGCTCAATTTCTAATAATTTATTTAAATTCGCAGATAGTTCTCCATATCTGCTCATCATGCGATAAGTTTCTTCGCAAACTTTTAATACCCCATGCATTATTTGTTCAATTTAAATCCACAAGTGATTCATCATCTCGGCTTATCATAAACTAAATTGCATCACAGCCTTTTAATGCAAATGCATCATTTGGATCAATTTCTAATAATCCACAAATAGTTCTCAATACCTGTTCATCATATGATAAGTTTCTCCACGAACTCTTAATACTCACGTCAATTTCTAATGATTTACTTAAATCCATGAATAGCTTTTCATACCTGT